CACGGGGGGGGAGAGAGAGGGAGGGAGGGAGGGAGAAGTGAGGCTAGCGAAGGAGGGAGCACATTACCCCTCATGCTGCCTGCCAGATCATTTTTATATATTTCAACATACAGTGGTGCCTCGCTTAACGAGTGCACCGTATAGCGATGTTTCCGTATAGCGATCCCTTTTTCGGGATCGCTATACAGAAACATACCCGATCTTCGCAATGGGGAAAACCCGCATTGCGAAGATCAGGTATTGCGGCGGCCATTTTGGAGCCGCCGAACAGCTGATCGGCGGTTCCAAAATGGCCGCCAGAAGCCCGGAAATGGCTGCCAGCAGCCGTTTTCGCACCCTGCCCTCGCTTAGCGAAGGCGCGAAAATGGCTGCCGGCACCTGGAATCCTCGCTGAACGGGTAAGTAACAAAGGTATTGGAACGCATTAAACTTCGTTTAATGCGTTTCAATACGTTTCCCCTACCCGTTTAGCGATGATTCCGTATAGCGAGGGTTAATCCGGAACGGATTAACCTCGCTATACGGGGCACCACTGTATTTGACATATTGCTCTATAAGCATTATCTTTTTTTGGGGGGGGGAGGGAGACAGGCTTGCCAATGAGGGAGACACCCAGCCAGGCTGAAACTGACAAGGTTTGTGAAGGGATGGGGAGAGGGGAAAGGGTCTGAAGCAGACCAGATATTTTGACTAGATTAGCAGGCCTAGGTTGTGAAGGAGCGAAACACAGGGAGAGGGAGAGGGAAGAGAAGAAAAGGGAGCATGGGAGGCACACCAGTCAGTGGCAAACTCCAGAGACACAATTTACAGTATCAGAGGTGAGCACACATGCCAAAACGATTCAAAATAAATTGGTCTGACATTGAAGTTAAAATAAACAATCCTCTGGTGGAAGAATAAAATATGTCATATGCAAAAGCCACATTACTTTGTTCATGGCCCAAAAATGTAAAGCACATTGTTTTATCCAAAAATGTAAAGCACATTGTTTTATCCAAAAGACTGAATAATTGTCATGTATCAGCCCTGTTTAGTGTGTATCAGTATGCACTAAACATGTTTTAATAATGTGTTGCAACAAACTTTAGACCAAGTTTGTCCAACCTGCGGCCCGAGGGCCGCATGTGGCCCAGGTCAGCTCGTAATGCGGCCCAGTGAAATTTTTTATTTTAAAAGAAATTCCAAAGTTTCAAGAGACACTGCCGGCGCTTGCGGCCGGAATGTGGCCAGGGCACGTCACAACGGTGGGGGGGAGAGAGGGAAGGAAGGAAGGAGTGGGAGGGGAGGGGACAGGGGGGCTGCGTGACTGCATTGCACCGTCCCCATCAATAGACGGACCCCCTCCAGCCCCATAGAGCCACCGGAGTCGAAGCTGGCAGCCTCTGCTGTCTGAGATAGCAGCTGCCGGTAAGCGCGCTTGGAGCGGGGCTGCGGAGGACGGCTAGGGCTGCCCCCCCATGCGGCCCAAACTAAATGTATGTGCGGCCCAAACCAAATGTTCATCTTATAATGTGGCCCAGGGAAGGTGAAAGGTTGGACACCCCTGCTTCAGACATTTTCCTCCAGGGCACTTTTCAAACTATAATGGATTCTGATTCTCCTCCTCCTCCTCCTTCTAATTCCTGTATATCTCTCCTAGATGCCGGAGCAGGAGTGGGCAATGAGTGGGCCCCAAGATGATTTCTGTAGCCCCTGAAGCTCCACTACCTTTTTTCCTCAGCAAAACAAAACACAAAAAGACGCAAGGTATGTAGTTCACCTTAAAGCTCTGGCCACTTCAAATTTTTGTTTGTTTGTTTGTTTGCTCACTCGCTTGCTCATTTATTCCTTTCTTTCTTTGGAATTTTATATGGCCTCTGTGACCCCTGGAAGATCTCAGGGGCAGAAAAGTGGTCCCTGGCTCCATCAGAATTGGTCACCCCTGTTCTAGAGTAAGCTATTAATAAATAAATAGCAAGATCAGGAAGAAACAACAGCCAGAGAACCAAGTACTGATTCAAGCCAACTAATTTAGAACAGTTCCAAAGACCAACAGTTTTAATGTCACAAATACAAAAGCAGGCACAAAAAGCTGAGGACCAAAGAAAAATCACAAAATGCTCTAAATCTTGCAGCTGTTTATTGCTTCACAATGTATGATGTGATTGTGAACTAATCAATTTGGGTATATAAACATAATAATTCTTCATGAATCATTAACGTCCCCCTTTTAGGGTTTTGTGGCAATTCTATGACTTGCTGTAACTACATAATTATTACAAATGGCAGACAGTGATACATTTTATATCTGTTAATTATGAGTCAGCATTCTCCAGTTGGCAAAGACTTTACTTTTTCTTTAGGAAGAATGCAGTTAATAATAAAGAAATAATTAACCTACACTACCTAAGCAGGTAATTTGTTTTATTGGAAGGTCAAGTGGTACTTGGTCTCCAAATATGTGGGTTTGAAAATAACATATAAAGGGACCTAGAGCACTTAAATGTGGCTCAGAATGGCCATCCTTAACAATCATATTGCTCCTTAACAGTTTTTCCTAGAATAAGACAATAGGATTTGTAGCCCTAATAAAGAGAGAAATTAGCAGGTACAAGAGGTTTTAGCAAGTTTTATTTAATATAGTTCTAATAAAATATATTGATGTATGAAAATGAGACCAGCCTACCTCCCATAAAAGGAATTAAATTCACTCCCAAAATTCTATCTCCACCTAATTTAACTGCATCTTAGGCTGACTGCATGAATCAGCTTGGTATGTTGTTACTTCTGGCCATGTCAGTCATTGTATGACAAATTACTGCATTGCTAACTCAACAATCAGAAAATGAAATATAATGAGGTAACCACTGCCATTGACACAATGAATGCTATCATGAGATGAGGAAGTTTCATAGAACATCCTGTTATAGAGATGTAGATGAAGAATTGCTGGATATCTCAGTGGTTTAGGTCTCTGGCTGCACAGCCAGAGGCTAAGGGTTTGATTCCCACCATGCCTCCTTGACAGGGCTGGACTCGATGATCCATAGGATACCTCCGAGCTCTGCAGTTCAAAGATTAATAGATTATTATTAGATTAGATTATTGGGCTGTTTGTATGAGAGACATGGTATGGTTGGGATAAACTGGTTTCTTATTGATGGTTATGGGCCGGCAGGAGTTGTTTCACATATTAAAATGACATGGATAAAATCACCACTGTTTAGATGTTTTCTATCTGTAGATACTGTACAAAATGAGCTTTAGCTGTACATTGGAGGGAGCTTTATTAATGATGGGAAATGCTCACAAATTCCAACACCTTTGTTTCTTAGTCTTGCTGTTGGTCGTCTGTTGGTAGAAATTATTTATTTAATGTGTTTTATATCATTTTTCATGAAAAAATGAATCTCTAGCTCACATCACTAAAAGCAAAAATGGGACACACAGAGTGTGAATGCTTAGAGTAGTCGAATGACTAGATGGGCCGGATATAAATATAACAAACAAACAAATAAATAAATTATTGAATGAATGAAGGAAGGAGAAAAGTAATATGCTTACTAACCTGAATAAGCATCCAAGTGAACTGGCAAAGGTAGAGGTAGTGAGTGACTGAGCCCAAAGCTGAGCAGCTTTCTCCTGACAGTTGCTGACTTGTATAAGCTGAGGCCAGAAAGGAAATCTAAAAGAAAAATCATATCAAAACCTGTTAAAAATTGTGTTTTCAAGATTGAGTCAATCAGTAAATGATGCACACTAGTCAACATATATAAATGTCAGCATTCTGAGTCCAATTTATGAAGTGTGAGGGCATGAAAATTCAATGAATATCTAGTATTATTACTGGAAGATCAGGGTAGATATGTGCATCTCAATATTTTTCCACAAACCAACAAAACTTTTACAAGACAACTTCGATGTTTTACACAGTGCTGCATCCAAACAGGATGTACTGAGAAGTACTTTTATATTATGCTTACTTGATTGTTCGTTCCCATGACCAGATGTATTGCAGCACTTTGGACTAATTACCCTAGACAAATATATTCTGTGTACACATTATATTCCATAACTCTCATAGGTACACTATTTAATAATGGAACAGAGCTAACTAGGATCTGGAAGACAGAAACTAGTTTGAACATGTTTTGGAAAATGATATGTTACTCAATAAAACAAGCTGTTAAAATATTATAGGATGTTATACCTTTGTATGGCAGAGTGCAAAAAGGGAATGTTTGAGATATAGCAGTTGCACCATCTCTAAAATTCAGATGCACAACAAATTCAGTCTCCCTTTTACATGTTTATGACACTTTACCTCTGAAGTTATCACAGTAGGTACATAGTCAGATAAGCAGGATGTGGTTCACAAGAGCAAAAGATATAACTTATTCTCATAAAGATATGGACAAATTAGTTATAATTTTCACAGATGTCACTTATACTAGTTGCCTCTTTCGAAACTGTCCACCCATGTCTCTTTTCTGTCCTTCTAAAAGAAGACTGTGCAATTTCCAAAGTTCATTTCATGGAGACCCTGTCTATGCACACATAAAACACAATGTATCCATGTGCCTCCCTGCCAGGATCTTTAACCTCCGCATGGAGTACCATTAGACTTAAAAAGCTCAAAGCACAGCCTGCCGACTGTGCTGTATTGTGAATGATAATACTCTGCCACGTAAGGAATAAAATCAGCATTGCACTATGAATAAACCAATGAACACCATTTTGCGCTTTAAGAAATGCTGACAATTTAAAATGCAAGAAATAAACAAACATAGTAAAATACTTCTGAATATAAATTATTACCATGGCAAAGCAACAGCATTGCCTTGCAGAGGGCTTGCTGCTATAGTAAAGGCACATTTTATAAAATGGCGCTGAAAAGTCTTCCCTTTCTTCTGCCAGAGGACAGTTTTCCTATGGAATGCTACAAGGTTCTATTATATCCCTTGGGATTTTTAGCATAAGCATGTAAAGTGCAAAACATCCAATCATCAATTAATTTTAAGTTCTATGTCATCAGCAGACCCTCACTTGTGTCTCCTCCTCAAATCCCACAAAGCAGGAAAGCCTTAGAATTAGGATTCTCGAATATAATAATGGCTCCAATGGGGAACAATGATTTTTTAAAAAAAACCTCAGTTCAGACAACACAAATTTTCCCCCTATTCATGAGAATTCTGTACTGTTTTTCAGTTAATAAGAAATTCATAATATATAATTAAAACAATATTATTTAAAAAACCAATTACTTAAAACACAACAAACAGTTCATTAAAACATCAATTATAAGACTGGAGCAGTAAATTAAAAGATAAAAAGGTTACCTTTAAAAGTTATAACAGAAAGAAATGTCTTTGTTTTAGGAAAAATAACAATGGTTGGAATCCTACTGGCAGTTTACATATGCATAAGTGAATTTGTGAATGTTGCAGCATCAAGTTGTGTTGCATGTTCCTTGCATCACCAGCCACACAACCAGGGACATGACTAACACCTTGTTAATTAGAAGCAAGCTCTTGATGTGATTTATGCAAAATGCCAGTAGGATTCTGGCCAATGGGAAAAAGATAATGGGTATTCCATGGAGAATATTCTAAAGTTCTTGGGTAGGAATGGGTGATAATTTTGGCTAGTTGTTCCTTATATCAGCTTTTCTGAATACCTAGAATTTTTCATAAGTTAAGGAGAAAAAGCTTGAGATTGGAAAAATAAGTAACAATGAAAGAATGAGAATTTGAAAAATCTGCCTACCCAGGCAGAAAAAAAATTGACTTTTACATTTAAAATTCTGCTCTAGAATATCAACAGCTTCAGCCATATTTATGCTGCTGAGTTCATCTGGCCAGCTTACTTGCTTTCTTTCTTTTCTTCTGTCCCCTCCCCCTTTCTTCCAATAGATGTGAGTTGGTGAGCAGGAACAATGAAGGAGGGTCCATCCCCATGTCCTATTGGCTTTCTCAGGGTCCCTACCAGAGCTAGATGGTGGGCATGAACTGTATCCTCCACTGGACATTATCCAGGTGTGAATGCTGAAATAGAAGTAGGAGGCTAAAGAAGCAAAGGTGAGAAGAAAAAAAATGCTGGGAAGGAACTACTAAGGAAGGCTTCCACAGGCAGAGTTGCGGGGGAGTTGGTGGATGAGACAAGGACGAGAGTGAGCTGAAGACTGGGCAGACACCCCTGAGTGGGGTGATGAGGAGCCAGGTGCAGAAGCCTATGCTGATAACTTCAGGATGTAACTCTCTTCCAGTCCATACTTATTTGAAGGAACTAAGTCTGCAAGAGATGAAGAAATTCCCAAAGACTGGACCTCAACTTTGTGACACCTGACAGGCATTGGAACATGAGACAGTCAGCTGGGAAGACTTGGCCCCAGATCAATGGCACTGTTTTCACAGGGACAAACAATTCCAAAAGTTATACCAACTGCAGTGGGACATAAAGGAAGGATGGCTGTGGGTGTACAAGCCCTGAAAGTGTTACACAGTGTATGTTAGCTGATTTCCTATTACTGTACTTTGTTCCTATTAAATGTTATGTTTGTTGTCTGAATACTAACTCTGAGTTTTCCTGTTCAGTGATGGATGACAGGGGTGACATTTGTGATTTCAATTACTTTGGAGGAGGTATGTTGTTGTTATGTGCCATCAAGCCACCGCCAACTTATGCTGACCCTATGAATCTCCAAAATGCCCTGTCTCAACAGCCTTACTTAGCCTTTACAAACTCAAGGCTGTGCCCTCTTTAGGGAGTCAATTCATCTTGTATTTGGTCTTCCTCTTTTCTTGCTGCCACCGATGATTCCCAGCAGTATTGTTTTTCTTCCGGATAATCTTGCCTTCTTATGATGTGCCCAAAATACGAATGCCTAAGTTTCATCATTTTTGCCTCCAGAGATAGTTCAGGCTTGATTTCCTCTAGGACCCACTTGTTTGCCTTTCTGGCAGTCCAGGGTATCTGCAAAGTTCTCATAACAAATCATTTCCCCCCTGTCAGCTTACTTTATTGTCCAGCTTTCACACCCGTACATGGTGATCGGAAATGCACGAGTGTGGATTATTTTGGTCTTGGTCTCCAGTGACACATCCTTACACTTCATGGCCTTTTTTAATTCCTTCATTGCTGCTCAACCAAGTCCCAGTTAGCATTTTTTTCCCTATGGGTTTTCCACTGGCAGATGAAAAACATTCCATAGTTGACAGAGCTTTTAACTGGCTGATATTTTATCCCATTACTTAATACTATTTTGCTGTACATGGTGGACTTGGGCTAAACATATGCATGTTCCTTAAACACAGTCAGACTACTGCTACAACTGGTGTCCTTAGTTGGAGATATTGGAGTTTTATTTTTATTTCTGTTTGTGTTTCTTTTTCATATGTTTTAAAATTATAAATGGCTCAGATAGTTTTGGAATGGAACAATTGAGAAATTTAATACATTAATAAACTGAGTAATTCAGGAGCCAATCCTGGACAGTTAAATGTTTTCAAGCACCTGATAAAATATACAGATCTTTCTTCAGTTTTTACTCTGACTGTGATTATTTGGAGTTAAAATGAATTCTTGCTGGGAAGGGGAAACATCAACATGTCTCTGCTGTGAGTTATAGTGGTTTTGGCACATTTCTCCTCATGATCATACTACTTCCTATTGAGTATCATGGGTTTGCCTTAAAAATGCCCTCTTAATGCTTCTGTTTCAGTTATCTAGAGTTTTCAATATAGCAGTATACTCATTAATTTTTTTTCATTAGCTCTAATAATAGAAAGTATACACTTTCAGAACAGCTGGTGTTAATCTTTTTCTATGTCTTTCACAAGAGTGTAAAACAAATCACTGAAATCACTTAATGGTGCCCTTTTGATTCCAGCATCAAGTCTGTACAATTTAAACATGTGAAATGCAAGAACAGAATGAAGAAAGTAACTTATTTTTTGGTTGGTTTTACTGTATAGAAGACCATGGCCAGGAACTGAACTGGACTGCTACATTTCTGGTCAAGTAAGATTCCTTGCAGTGTGACTCCATGAAGAAGGGTGGATGGAACTGTTGACTTTCCCAAAGCTACATGCACTAGTGCTTTCTGCTCCCATGTTAAAATGCCTGCATAGCCCTGTTCAGGAATCTCATTGACAGGAGAGTAGAGATGGACAGGAACTGAATTACAAATCAGAAAAACCAACTATTTGGGCTGATTTGTGGTTCATTTTGTGAACCAGTTCGGTGATCCTGTTTTGCCAAAATGAAATGCCAAACTCCTCCCCTCCTGGCTTTGTTTTGTTTGACAAAGCAGGATGCCCACTCACCCCCTTCCCACTGCCCTATCGCCTCCCTATCTAGTCCTGCTGCCACTGCCTCCTCCACCATCATCACAATCATCCTCAGAGGCAGTTGATCTGCCCCCCCTTCCTAGAGCCAGACTTGCTGGCTCATTTTTCTAGGGGTTCATGGTGGTTCGTGGTTCATGTTTACCACAAACCATAAACCATCCCAATTCATTATTTCTTCAATTTGTGCCCATCTCTGCAGGAAAGTGTGCTAGCCCCTCCTCATCACATCATAGTTTTTCCTGTGCAAAAGTGGAATGTTTGAAGAACACAAACATTTCTATCCATGGAAAGTCTTCATATGAACCGGAAAAATCAGGGGTCTGGCTAGCATGCAAAG